CAATGTTTATTTATTAGATTAATAAGAAAACTGATAGATGCCTATTCTATGCTCCAAGCCTATGAGGTATAATTTGTAGCATGCAAATATATCTACCCTCTGGTTCAGGTGAATGCTAAAGTAAAAAATACCCCTTCATAAAGGAACTTCTATCAATAAACTCCTCTTGTATGAATGGGCACAAGTTGCTTCACTGATTGCTGCTGGAATAGTATAGCATAAAGGGCCATATCCACATTAGTCACCTAGGCACCCCCACCCCGCTTTTAGCTATTATACAACCTAAATATTGGATATCTGACCCAAGATTGGGGGGACAGCCAGATTAAGTGCCTATGATCCCTCTAATGTCAATAGGAAGAAGTAGACATTTCCAAAGGGTGAAAGGGTTGAAAGGTTTCCAAAGGTTGAAAGAAGATTGCCTGCCTGCCTGCTGAGGGGGACTGGGCCAGCTGGTGGGGATGACTGGATGGCCCAGGGGAAGTTAAAAGTTTCCAGGGAAGGGAGAGGAGGAGAAAGGAAAGGCTGAGGTGGCAACAAAGTTAGGATTACTTTCTCAGGGCCTGAGAACAGACCACAGGATGTAAGCTAACTCTTTATTGTTTAGGTATTTGTTTGTTTTGTGATTATGTTGTTTCCCATGGTGGCAAGTTTGACCCAGGGAAAATAAAACTGTGCTGTAAACAGTGGTGACCCATGACAAGAGACGCGTATGAATTTCTACCCCGTTCTGCTACATAGGTGGCCAACTCATTGCTGCACGTGCTCACATGGGATCCAAGCCACTTAGTCCCTCTTCAGAGGGTAGGTGCCTAACTAACTGACTGATCTTTGTTAAAGATGCCTACCTTTTGTATAGTTGCCTATTGGTTAAAGCAGTCATCCAGGAAATGGGAAACAGGCAACATTTAGTGGTTTGGGTACTCAGCTTAAAGTAGAGTCTTGGGTCCTGAGTCTTGCTTTAAGGGTTATGTTTTAACTGGTGGCTGATGAAAAATGTATAAATGGTCTTGCAAACAGGAACTGGAATCCAGATCTCCCTCTTTTTGGAGTGTCTAAATCACTGAGTTAAAGTGTCAGTTTTTCTTTTACTTGGCTCTTTCTCTGACCGTGTGACTTTTACATTCTTGGAAGCAGAGTGGGCCAGCATCTCCAACAAGAAGCGTGGAAAGCGCCCCATTTACATTATTCCATTACTTGGTGGAATATGGTGGTACTGTCCTGGAAAGCATATAAAGGCTAGAGAATTATATTTAGAAATTTGCTCTTAGAAATTGGCTCGTAGAAAGAGTAAACACTGCATTAGAACAATGGTCCAGGGGAATGACAAGGGTTAACTGTAGAGGTGCACCGATACATTGGTCCCATATCAGATTGGCACCATTATAAGGAAAATTGATTGCATTGGCAATTGGGTTTTTTTGGCCTGATGTGGCTGATAAATACCCTGTGCATGCACACGCAGTGCAGCACATAGACAGCTAGAAACGCAGCCCAGCAGCATGGAGAGCAGCTGGGTCAGGATGGCAAGTCTGTTGTGAGGAAAGGGGCATGAGGGGGGCAGATAGAGGCCTCCAAGGTGAGAGAGGGAGTGGGGCTGGGGCAGGTGTTGCACACACCCACTCTCATCATGGGTTCCTTGATCTGGCCCCCCAAGTCCCTTCCCTCTCCCCTTCCCCTGCAACAGACTTAGCAGCCAGATGCTGCTCTCCATGCTGCTTGGCTGCATATCGGAATCAGATTGGTATCGGCTGAAATGGCTCATTATAAATCGGCCATTGGTATTGGCCCACAAATTCTCTATCGGTGCATCCCTAGTTAATTGGTTTCTAAAATCTGTGGAGAAGGTTCATGTTCTTATAACTGTCTCAGAGAACCAGGCATATACATCCTGGGAAACTGAAAATACGTAGCAACAAAAGAGGCACTTGGTTCCTTTGAAACCCATAACAAGATAGGAACATGTAGACTTAGCATTAGGTCACAATGACCAGCTGTAATCTGGTGAGAAATCCCTGGTTTTGGTGGAATGACCAAATTAGGAGATGGGAGATACTCAAATTAAAGTACCAGCAAATGACCACATTAAGATGTATGCATTTGATGGATTCGAAGTAACAAAGGATTAGGCTGATAGGGCAGAATGTGGACAGCACGATGATCACAAGAAAGCCAATCAAAAGTACCTAGAAATGAAGAGTCATCAGGAGAAAAAGAATACAAAAGGCGGGATTTTCAGAGTAGCAAGTTGACCTCAACTCCAAACCTCCAAGGCTGCTGACATAGTTCAAGCAAGAACCACAAGTTGGCACCCACATACTGACCAGATGTATTGTCTTCTCATGAAACCCAAGGACTGGTAAATGAGTAGGACTGTTCAGTCATTTTCCTTGCTTTGCTTGCGTTAATCTTATTTGCTATCACTGTGTATCAGTAAAAATTGCCTACTATTTAAAATGGAAGGGGTTGTGGTCAGTCATTTAGAAACCTTGTTCCAGACAGGCACAACCTATCTGGACTGGATTGTAAATCCAGTGCCAACAGAAGACACCTGTTTGAATTGTCTCCAGCTAAATTAATCTAGAAACTAAGTATCGTATCTTGGATGAGTGCTCTAACCAGCAAGTAAAACAATGCAAAAACTTGGTACCACTATCACTTTTTCCTCTTCCTCCATGCTCCCAGAGACAGTCAGATATATTTACAGGACTGCCAACTCACTGGGCCCATCTGATAACTTAGGAGGAGTTTAGGCACTCCTCACATTCACTCTGGGTTGCAACAAATCTTAGGTGGGTGTTATATTCCTAAATGGATCACTCCTGAGCATGCACAAAAATGAACACAGCCATTTAATGGCCTTTGTTGCCCAAAATGGAGGAATCAAATGAGTTAAGGTGGCTAATGAGTTTTGTGGCTGCTGGAACAGAGCTGTTTTGGAATGCTCTTTGGAATTTTGGCACTTAGTACAGTTTTGACATTTATCGGACCAATGAGGGTTTTTTTCTATATAGGTTGTATCCAAATAATCAGCCAAATAATTAAAAAATCCCATATTGCAAGGTGTAGTTGTGAATTAGATTCTTGTTCTGCTAGTTTGTTACTTGTTGTATAACATGCAGGTCAGTTTCCTCAAACAGCAGTAAGCTGGAACAAACAGTGCAGGACCACTAAGCTAGGCCCTTCTGTGATGCAACCCTGCTCATTATCTTATGATGAATTGGAATTTTTATTATATGTAGGAGTACATTTAAAGTTGCAGCACAAACTGAACAAAAAAATTAAGTTCAATCAGCTGCAAAAAAGTAGCATCAAATCTAGACACTGTTAGAAGTTAGTTTATTAACAGATTATCAAGATACCAGTTCTAACATACATCCAAAGCAGGGATGCATCTCCTGGGCAGTTCATGATGATGGCAGGCAAAAGGGGGATGTTTGTGGCTGCCTATGTCCTCTTCTTGCAGGGCACAGGTCCACACAAATATTACCTTTTCTGTCAAAAATAATTACACCTTCTATTTTGCCAGGGACAGGCAGGATTAGATCATTTTTTATGTGAAAGAATTTACATTTTTCTTGGTTTATGTGAAATGTAATTTTTGTCCAAATCATATTTTAAGCAAGTGTGGTAAACTGGCAGATTTTGATCTCTGTGGTATTGGCATAAATTCTTCGGAGAAGGAATTATTTCATTAAGCATTTAAGCTTATCCGAGTTCAGGACTGGGAAAACAAACATTTTAGTTGCTTTTTAAAGTTGTTTCATTCTCATTGTTACATAATACAAGTGGACACTGTCCAGTTTATTTGCCTGTGATCTTTGAACGGCAAACGACATCACAGCAGAACATCTGGTCATGATTCTGTAAGTTCTGATCCAAGGTGAGGCACTTCCTATGCTTTTATATCCCTGTCTCTTGTGTTCCAATCTTGCTCTCCATTACCTTAGCTTCCCGCTATCCATCTGATTTTCTTTGCCCATGCTCTTACCACAATCTATTCCACCCCAACCCCATTGCCTTTGCCTGTTCCTTGTCCCATTTGCCCCAGCCATATTCCAGCTTCTTGCTGGATTCCAGTATTACTTCTCCCACCAACTGATTCAGTTATTCTCCCCCTTCCACCAACACCAATCAGATATTCAGGGTAGCTCCCAGTTCCAATTGCATTACCAACTGGTCTCTTAAGACTTGGACCAGAGGGCATGGGGATGGAAAGAAAATGCTGACTAGTTTGTTGCAGTTGGACTGGGGCAAGAACGCAGGGACTGGTTGGTAAAGAAACTGGAATAGAGATTAGCTTCAAGGAAACTAGTAGGAAAGGAAGACAAATTGGAGGCAGTTGTGGGCAAAGGAACACTGGAGAGCAAGATGGGAGGAAGAGTCATAACTGAGGATCTGCACCTGGCAGGACAAGATTAGAACATATCATTATGAGGGAGAGATGTGGATGTGGAGAAGAAGCTGGGTAAAGAGATGAGAAGGAGATTAGGATGAGGGTCCTGAATATTGATTGGGAAGTTTTAGAGAAAGAAACTAGTATGAGGATATAGGAGTGGAGGAGCAAGAGAGATCTGAGATAGGACCAGATTGAAGGGGATAGAACAGAAAGAGTCAAAGCTTTATATGTGCTTCAGTTCCCCCTCTTTAAATTGGGGACAATAGTATTTCCTCTTTTGTTTATCTTTTTCAATTAGTAAGCACTCTCCAACAGTGATTGTGCCTAGCACCAAAGAACCAGTAACAATTCCTCAGATAATTTTTACAGAACAAAAAGCAATAGTTCACAATCTAAGGCCCTGATTCTTCCAAGTATATGCTTAATATTGAAATAAATGGAACTATTCATATGCTTAAAAGTAAGTAGACATGCAAGAGTCTCCAAACTGGAGTCTCAAAAAACCCACAATTGTGTTTTATATTCACATATTTTTTTAAAACTGATATTGCTAAACCAAAATGTAAAAGCAAAACAACTAATACATATTATATTACTGTACCTCTCTTTCATCCATTTTCAGCCATTGTTTTGGATCATCCTCAGTAGCCAGGAAGGCAATTAAATCTAGGGCAGTGAGTCTAGTTTGACGTCTGGATGACACAAAGATAAGAACTGGCTTTGCTGGAGAATGGCTCCGAATTGCTGTTAAAAGAAGAAAAATTTAGACATAACTCATTTCTGCCAGAAAGCAGAATTTCCTAACACATCGTGCTAGCACTGCGAGCAGAAGTGCCAAAGATTTAAATCCATCTTTCACTAACATTTTATGCCTAAGCATTGGCAGGGAATTCTTAACTAGAAAGTGACCTTTTACAGTTGCTGCAAAATTAGTGTAGGAGTAACAGCTTAAAGGAGCATGGTTTCTGCTCCTGAACAATTAGTGTGAAACAATGAAACTAGTCTAAAAATTATCATTTAAAATTTTTTGATGGGTTTTTGGGTGATTTTAGAAATTAGAAATTTTGAGAAAAAAAAATGGTGTCAGAAATGGAGATAACAATGAAAATGCTAAGAGAATCGTGAGCATACCATGTCAAACAAGTGGAAAAATGACCTCACTAAATCAAATTCTGACAGGTTTTCTAATAACATTAAAATAGAATAAACAGCATGTAGCTATAGCTTGGATAGTAACTCTAGTATATTATACATATAGATATTTATGCATGATTTATTTCTTATATAATGTTTCATTCTACCAATTACTATTATGCATTCATCCCTAATTTATGAAAAACAAGTGCATTATACTGCCTACCATCACATACTGTCTCTTAGTTCACTGGTAATAGTGTGTGTGTATGCATATATACACATATGTATATAACTGTAAAATTACATAAATCTATAGCATAATCTGTTAATATATTTATACCCTACAAATATGGATGCCTATATATCTATATCTTCTTTAAAAGCTCGACATCTAATGGATTTTTGTTGCTTCAGGAACAGGTGTGGCTGAACAGCCCAAGACAGATTTATTGTTCATTAGTGTTTTTATACAATGCTCCTGTGGAGGTGTAAATAATCTGAGCTGCCAAGATTGGTCTCTAGTCCACAATCAATACTTTGCTTCTGTCATAAGGCTAATTAGAGTAGCTAAAAAGTCACCTCACAACTGTCACCCCACAATCAACAGCAGGTCACATACCAAAATTTATTTGGGAGGTTATTTTTAATTGATATAATAAATATTCCTTATGTAACCAAAACAAAACATGTTCCAATAAAATATGAGGGTTTTTCTTAAATCAGGCCTGCCTGCCAGCTTTGTTAAGAATAAAAAATTGAAACCAGAAGCATATCTGGACTCTCTGCAAATTCTTAATTTTATGGTTATTGCCTTGAACCTAGAATTATGTGAGTCTAGCTTGACTTGCAACTTCTGTTCACGATTTTTTTAAAGTGTTCATATAGCAATCTTTATGAAAATACCTCATCAGATTGCTACGGTGAACGGTGTTATTACTTTCTAAATCTCAAATACTTTTACACAAACATTTCCTTGCAGTGTTGAAAGCTAAGATAAAACACATTTTCATTTATATAAGATCTCTCCTCATTATCACTAATTTCACTGATATTATTTCAAATATATTTATATTCCTGTTTGTAGGTTCCAACAGCAGGATACTATATGTTTGAGATGATGATGTTTTGGGTCATTAGCAAGAGATTCATCCTGTACACCCCAAGAAAAAAGATAGTAACACATTCTGTAATCATATAATACATAAGCCTCAAACAGACTGTGCAAACATGGCTAGAACCCTTTTTTCTTTTGTAGATAATGAAGGGCTCTAGCTTTGGCTGCTTACCCTGAAAAGCAGGTTTATTCATGCTAGCCATGCGAGGACAGTAGTGCTGGCCAGGGAAGCCCTGAATGTGTACCTCCAATGGAACTGGTCGCACGGATGGTCGGAAGTTGAACAGACCCATCTGAAGCAAAAACAAATTCTTTTAGTTTAAGCTTGAGTTATCTTGGAAATACTGATAGTTAACATTTCTGCATGATGGATAAGCACAAATGTCTTTTTAAGAATCTTCTACATACCTGATTAATATTTAACCAATCAGCAAGGTCTCTGGCATTTGCTAATGCTGTGGATAAACCAACTACTCTAACTGGTTTTTCTGTGTGAGATGAGATGAAATTAGTTCGAGACACGATAACTTCCAGTACTGGGCCTCTCTCGTCCCCTGTTATTTAAGAGAAATTTTAAAATAAGTATAGAGGTTAAAAATTCCGTGCAGTCATAGTTGGGCGCACATTTTTCAAGATCAACAATTATGATTAAGAAAAAAAATGTATTGCTTACCTAGCAGATGGATTTCATCAATGATGAGAATGGACACTTTCTGAACATAATTCCTGTTTTGCCAGCTTCTACTGACACCATCCCATTTTTCTGGTGTAGTAACAATCAGGTCAGCTTGTGCTATAGCTCTCATGTCAGGAGTCACATCGCCTGTCAGTTCTACAACCCTGTAATTAAGTAAAATTATTTAATTATTTATGAAACTTAATAATTTCATTTTCAAATCAATGAAACTTTTTTAATGTCTCGGGGTAGCCATGTCCAAACATTAACTCTTAATATAAACAAAATACAAAATCAAATCAAACCAGTCTGTTCCTGGCTGAATACCATTGACATATTATGAAAATAATAAGTAAACACAATTTTAATCTTTGCCTTTTAATTGTCTAGTGCAACAACACCTACAGAGAAAAGAAGTCTGCCTTACTTATGATGCAAAAAAGTTCATTAATTAATATTATTATGGATATTATATATGTCAGACCAGCCTTTCCTACTTGTATGAGAGCGCTTCTTAAATATGCATCAAGTGGCTGTGTATTGCCCTGTACAACCTGTCTGGTAATCATTGTTACACGTGTGTCTGCTCTCCGTTGGTAGGGTCTGTGAGAAAAATGGAGCAGGGACAATTCAGATAATCCTGTGTATCATCGGTTGCAGAACTCCTTCTGGAGGTCAGCTGTAGAACTCCAAAAATTTTGTAATATTTACATCGAAAGATGTTATATATTTCTTAACTATGGTCTGGGATTCTTTGGTGGGCGGTGATTTCTGCCACTAACAGTTTTCTCCCACAATCTTGGCACTGATTTAGAGCTTGTTCAGTGCTTGGCCTGCTTATTTATTGCATGGACAACTATCATGTTTCTCTCTACAGTGGATTACAGAGTTGGTTTGACTAGGTGCAGTATTTAGGATGCACTATTTACTTGATTCCAAGATGAGGTTTTATTTCCCCTTTAACATGGGGGACCCCCCCACCCCCCTGTCTTGCAAATATAAAGGGGAGGGAGGAACAGGCAGCTGCTGCTGGGAGTCAGGGAGGAACAGGCAGCAAGTTGGGGCCAAAGCCACAGCTGCTGCCTGCTTGCATGCTGCCTCTGCACTCCCTGCTCCTCTTTGACTCTCAGCCTTGGGGCCCTGCCCCACCTCCGCCAGCTTTCCCTTGCTCTGGTGCCAGCAGCCCTGCTGCAAGCTGGCACCTACAGTGTGGTCCCAGCCTGGTCTTGTAGTAGTGGTATAAACTTTGAGCTGCTGCTATGGGGCCAAGCCGGGGTGGTGCTCTGCTCTGCACACACACAATGTGTTGGCAGTAGAGCAAGGGGAAGGGAGAAGGAGAGGGGAGCAGAGGCTGACGGGGGAAGAAGTGGCACGAAGGGGGAGTTGAGGGGTAGGGAGGTATCTGGGGCCTAAGGCTGCCAGGGAGGGCATAGGCTTTGGGGGCAGGGCAGGCACAAGGAGGGAGTTAGAGGTGTGGGGCATAGGTGGTAGGAGCAAGCTGCTTGCCCCACCCCCTCGCCATTGCCTGCCAAGGGCCCCTACCACTGCTTTCCCTGGTCCAGTGGTGGTGGGGGTGAGTTTAAGACAATCCTCTAATAAATCAGATTCTATACGTGAGACATTATTCTCACATGCTGAGACAGAGCACAGTACCATTTAGAAACAGTTCCATTTAAATCAATACATCAATAAAACTACACGAAGAACAATTACTAATCAGTGAGACTAAGAATGGGAATGTCAGCTGCTAAGTAATTGATTCTTTGAACGATTTCAGAAAGGACTAAAAAAGATTTCTATGTGTGTAGTGTCACTAAATACTCAATCCTGTATTTCATTGATATCCTAACTTCATAACAAAGCTAATGGCACCAAACAAATGCAGACTGGTTATTAAAATACATATAGAATGTCATAAAATACACTATGTATATGATGAACATTACTAGTAATTTATATGGGATTCAGAAGAATGAGATATCTGAAATGTGGTCAATTTTGAACTGCACTTCCAAGGAAAAAGATAATACAGAGATAAAAATTGAGCTGCTTATTTCTGAGCTTCACTGGTTATAGACAATTAAGAAAAATGGCGGGTGTAACCAAGGACCATTTTTGTTTTTGTTACTTTCATTGTGCACTCTGTGTGATGACACAGACTGATATTTGGTTTTTGTTTTTATTTTTAATATTCAGGGAGAATTTGTATAATTGAAGGATAAAATATATTTGGCGGAAAATGAAGACACTTAAAACATTCTTTTGATTTGGCTCCTGTTGTTGAGCTTTTTTGTTTCCAATTTTCTGGTTTAAGCAAGAAACACATACTTTTTACCAAGCTTTTCTTCAATCCTAACTTTCCAATCCTCCATTCTCTCTCGCACCAATGCCTTTAGGGGGGCAATATACACCGCCTGAAAAAAAATACATACAAAATAAAATTAAATTAGAAGAACCTGTGTAAAATGCATATTAATATTTTATAAGTATTTTCTTCTGTGTCTTTAAGGATGTAAATGAATTTAATAACTAAAAATGATTATGATAAATTCTTAAAATTACTTCAAGTAACTTTAAACAGAATTCTAATTGAAGTAGCCTTAATACTTTCATATATTCTTTTGTTTGTTAAGTCAACACCATACATGTAATTTGAAAAATAAAGAGAGTAATTTATAAAATGGTAATACTATCATTACACCTTTTAAAAGCAAAAGGTATGTTATTATAAAATGACCTATATAAATAAAATGATTAATTACTGAGAATACAAAATCTGGAAACTACTATTCTGGACATAATGCTTCCCCATCAGTAATAAGAATTTCTAGGAGGATAATTTCTTACATTATTTCCAGCTGCTTAGTATTATTACTAAAACATTTAAAAATTAACTTAAAAATGATTAATTTAAATGAAACCTCACAAGACTTTCCCAGATAAATCCATTCTTTGTACTGAACTTCACTAGCACAAGTTTGTACAGCATTTGTTCAAATATATGGTTTTTAAAGTGCAATATATCTCTGAACAAGTGAAAACATTCATATGCACTTAAAAAAATCTGGCCTATACATGTTTTATACTAATATGTTAACCAAGACATTTAAATATTATTTTAATGATTATCATATTTAAATATTCATATGACTTTTTTCCCTTTACAATTCTATCTTTGTCCCTTCAACTGTTGCTAAGAAAGTTGCACTTATCCAGCTCAAACCACGTGAGCTGCCCCTTCCAGATTTACATTATATGTACCAAAATTATCCAGATTGTACATGCTATTTTTTGAACATGGCACTAGAGCCACTGACAAACATGAATGACAGGAGGTGTGATTATGGGATCATGTTTTGTGTAATAACTTTGTTACTTATTCCTGGCTCTATAATTAATTAATTGAAGGAACATGTGGCCGGGTCACTACTTAAAGGCATGATTAATGAGTTAATCACTTCTTATGTGTAACATGTATGAGGGGCCTAAGACAGATGAATGATCTTCAGACTAATTCTGAGAAGGGTTTACTTTATCTTAATTTACAGGAATTAGAGGAAGTAGTGTGTGGAAGAACAGGAACAGGAAATTGTGAGATGATCACTGTTGGGATTTTTGTGTTTCAGGCCCATGTCTGTGGGTAAGTCCTAAATATGCTGTAAAAAGGGCAGCAATGGCAGGATCCAGTTTATACCAGGCTCACTGGAGCTTCCAGGGCCAGGCTGGAATGCTGGTGATATCAAACATGGTTTTTAACAGTGCAAGGTGCCCTTAAGATTGAGCCTAGCAATCAAGTGTAACTATAGATGATTAAGGAAGGATGGCCAAATCAATATTCTTATATAATAAAGGTCCAACAGACAGTCCACCTGTCTGTCTGTCCGTAACACTCTTGGAGCACTCTGATTGGTTAGTGAAACAACCAATAAGAGTGCGGAGTACCACCATGATGGAAGGGACTGACCAGGGGAGCAAGGCCAGTGGCACTGGCTTTGCCCCCCTGCTCTGTCTTTTCTGTCATGGCGGTGCTCTGCCATCTCTGAGGAGCAGGGCTGGGTGGGGGGGGGAGGCCAGCGGTGCTGGAGGCAGTGGCAACACAGGGTGCTGGTGGACGGAGATGGAGGAGTAAGCTTCCCTCCCCACCATCTCCTGGGAGGCGGCAGTGTGGGGTGGTAGGTGGCAGTGCTCCATCCCTGCCCGCTCCCTCTGGCCCCGCCTTCATACTTGACAGGCAATTTGCTAAGTCAGAATATATACACAGGCACTCCCACATTCTATTACTTTGTACATGAATGATGATTTTTACCCAGATAGCTGAGTATATCTAAACATTGATTTAGACAGGCATTCTCTAAGAAATAAAAACAAAGTTGGAAAGAGAGAGAATTGGCTAGCATTACTTTAATGGTAACTTGCATGTGTAATTAAGAAGATCTAGCCAGTTGTTCTCACTTGGAAGGACCTCACAGATGTGAAACATGAACTTGCTGATGGAAGGAGTTTAAAGAATAAGCAAAAAAACCAAAAAGCCTCTCTGTAAGATCATCATGGATTTAGATGACACTCTGGAAGAAGAATTTCAATATATATTTACGGCATGGTTCGTTCATTTGGCTCTGATTTTCACTTTGGTTAAATAAGTAAGTGAAAGGTAAGCATAAGATATACTAATTAAAACCATTTTTATGCCCTCAGTTTTAAATATTAGTATGAAGCCATAGAAGCAGGATAATAATTTTCATACTCTACACGTTCATTAATGTGCTTTAGGTAATGCTTATTAAATCTAGTACCTCTAGGCACTTTTACAGGTGCTCGAGATGTGTGGGGAAGGGGCGGGACTTTAATTAGAGCGGCTCCAGGAGCGGCTCTAACTAAAGCACCACAGAACCTCCCTGCACTTCAGAATGGCAGCAGGGATGCTTAAATTAAAGCTTGTTATGAGCTTTAGTTTAAGTGCCCCCACTACCATTTTTAAGCACAGGGACACAGATACAGGAGATGCAGGAGGCTGCTTGAGCACGGTAATTGCCATGCTCCAGCAGACTCAATTAATCGAGTCTGCTCCAACATGCTGTAATTACCTCCATTGTGAGGTACTAGAAAAATATGCATTAGTCTCTTTTAATGCGCATTAGCTAAGGAGCGCTTTTTTGTGATTCTTTAATGCACATTAACATAGGCTAATATCCATTAAAGCAGACATGTAGATGTGCCCAGTTTCAGACTTTTGAGTGGCTGAAAGAAACGCACATATATCGCACATTTTTAATAAACGTATTTTACAAACCTTTGATGTGGGATATTGGTTAAAAATTCGGAAGATGGCTAATTCAGCTGCAACAGTCTTTCCAGAGCCTGTGGGGGCTCCAAGAAGAACATTACAGTCTGTATGATACAGCGTATGGAATATCTGCGTCTGAATAGGGTTGAAGTGGGTGAATTTGTACAGGCTTTCATATTCTCGATGTCCCAAAGCTGCGACAGGCAAAGGCTGAAGATCTAGCAGTTCTAGAATTACAGAATAATCATTAGTGTATGTCAAAATATGAAATCTTAAATGTACCAGTAGTTTATTTTTAGGCTAAAGCAAACAGATATGTTTAGGCATCAAGTAAGAATTTGAAGGGATATAACTCGCATTTGATTTTTTAAAAAAGTTGTTTCTTATGTCACATGAACTCCCAATGGAGCTATTATGAAATTCAGTGAGCAACAAACAAAATATATTACAACTGTAGATTTTTTCTTAAAGTAGGATTGTTAAATACACTGTGAGATTGATTGTTAAATACACTGTGTGATTCCGCATGTCAAAAGGCCATTTTTAACCACTTATAATGAATCAAATGTAATGAACTCTAAACCTTACTGAAGCAATACAAGTGTTCATATGATAAGTTAATGTGGATTCATACAGGAAAATACTAAAGTTACAAGGAAGAAAACTTTCTCTTTTTAAAAGTATTTATGGACTGATGAAATAATATATCCTGGAGGGATATATACAGCTTTTATACATATTTAGGATTATAGGAAGAGATAAATAAATATACAGGAAAAAAAACCCCAAAGAGCCACAAGGCTCTGCTTTGGAGGCATCTGCTATCTAAACAATTAGAGACTGTGGAATATGAAAAATGATATATATTACCAGATTGGATTTGGACGCCTACCAAATTAAGGAAACTTGCCATGATTCTGTTATGCAGATGCTTCCTTTGAAGTTTTTGTGGCTGGAGATCTTATTGTCTTTTCAGGGTGCTTCACATTAAGGTATGACATGGGAGTCATAAAATCCACTGAGACAATGATGCCTAATAGTCTTAACATGCTTTTCACTGATACCTTATGGCCATTTTATCATTCCCACTAAAACTGTGATTTCTCGGGCTCTGCTGGGAGGAGAGAAGGTTTTTGCCTAGCAGGGCCTCTATGTACTTCATTGCTGAGTGGGAACCAGATGGGAATTGAAATCAATTACCATAAATCCTAGAGGCTCCATAACTGGTGATGTGTAAATATCTTTCTGTTTCTTCTGAATAGTAGTCAGTGATCAGTCAATTAGATAAAAAGGTTATGCATGCTTTTTCAGACAGTGTAGGTACAATATAACAATAGCTAAACACTTCACAAACACATGTGAATTTATGCATGCCAAAGAGCAACATGGTACTGGAATTGAGTATTTCTGAATGCACACACTTCACAGACTGCTAGATGAGCCAAATGTTATTACAATGAAAGGGTTTTACAATGAGATCAGGAACAATGAACTTATAAGAAATTTTGTGCTTCCAAAAAAACCAACCCCCCCCACCCAAAACAAACATAAGCTTCTGCACCAAATGTTTAAAAAAAAAACATGTCTCACTCACTACTATGGAGGATGAAACTGGATGCACAATGCTTTCTGTAAGAGTGCTTAGCTAATATACATAAATATATTTTTAAGTAGAACTCATCAAACATTTAAAGTTTTTATCTAGATTTTATCTATCTATAGATCTCTCTCTCTCTCTAGTTAAAATTTTTTTTAACAACTAGGTTCAATTTCCATCCACAAAAAAGAGAAATTAAGAAAAAAAAAGTTAAAAGTCCAGAAGGCTTCCCTGGAAAAGCACAATCAATTTGCTCATGCTTATACTTTGATGAAGCTGGAAAAAGAAAAGTTAGTTTGAAAATCATATTCCTACAGTTCACTTGTTCATGCATAAACTTCAGAAAAGGGACCGAACTCCAATGGGGAATAACTGAGTTTGTCTTTTGAAATAAAAAACTGATAATTAATTTTATCTCCTCACATATACATGTAAATCTCTTCATGAAGGTCTCCTCAAAAATGAAGAATCAAAGAAGTCAGAGTTAGAGAACACATTTAAGTTCATCTAGGCCATTGTCATGACAGGGCAAGGTTACTGCAGATTTACTGATTTATTAGTTTTTAATTATCACAAGCAATGGACTTTCTCTGGTTTACCTATCCATAGCTTGATAGTTCTTACCATTAGGACATTTTTCCTGTTAATCATCTTAAGTTTCCTGCTCTTTTTAAATTTCACCCATTATTCAGAGTCAGTGTCCCTTCTATAGTATCTGCCTGTCCATTTCTCTGATATCTACACTCTTAATGGTAGATAAAACATTCTCTCATCTCATGGCCTCTTTATCAGGTTAATACATTTAACTTTTTAAGGGGCAGATTTAGACACCCAATGGTATTCTACTCTGTGAATAGATCATTTTTCTTAAATGTAATAGTTCACAAGGAAGGCTTAATTTGGAAATTTCTGAGACAAATTATGAGCAAGAACCTGGCCCTTATTGGGTGAATCTACACGTGCTATTAGCACAGAGCAAAAAACTTTAGTGCATTTCACGCTGGTGTTTATTGCTCCCAGGTGCCATGTTTACATGTGCACCCAGGACTATAGCACACTGAGCTGGGCTGGAGCAGCCATGGCTTGCAGGGGCCCCAGGGGGTCAAGCCTGCCAATCTGGGGCTGCTGTGATCTGGCTCAATGTGCTGCAGAGGGGCTCACTGGGGCATGAGAGTGCTTCAGTGCAGGGCTGGCTGGCAGGCAGCCCCCACACTGAAGCACCCTCTTGCCCCAGCCAGCTTTGTCAGCGTCAAAATGTGTGCTGTTGCACATTAAAGAACACCATAAGATAGTACTTTCATTTACAAGTACTAACCTGTGACAGTGTGTGGCCTAACAGGGCCATGTAGACATTGAGATTTTACTGTGGAGCTAATTAGGCAGCTCTGCAGTAAACGTCTTGTGTAGATATGACCCCTGATTCCACTGGTGGGGTGGGTGGAACCTTTTAGGCAGGCATGCCACAAGTCAAATCCTCTGTCTATCCCTTCCTCCACCTCACCCAAGTGCCACCCTGATCCCCTTTCCCTTGTCTGATCTCCTGCTCTTCCTTCTGCTCCCTGTTCCCTCTCTGATCTGCTGCGTGCCACACACAGAGGCTGCTTGTGCCATTAGTAGCACGTGTGTCACAGTTTGGCCACCCCTTCCTTATTCCATGAATAGTTCCATCATTTTCAGAGGGACTACTTTTTGACTACAGAAGACTGAGGCTGAGAAGCCTGTACCAAATCTCACCCTCAGCTTTTCCTCAAAAGTTCTTGGCCCGCAGATCATTTTTCACTTTTTGTCTGAATTCCTTCCAATTCAGAGGCTTGGAACAGAACATAAAATATGATCAGTGAAGAGCCACACAGATGTTCTGCCTCTATTAAAAGGATGCAGCCCAAAATTACAGTTTTTTTTTTTTTTTAACTGCAATACCATAGTGCAAATTTATGTATAATTTGTTGCTCACTGAATTTTAAATTAATTACCTTAGAGATAAAAGAGGAAATTTTAGATGCGTTTAGATGAGGCCTGATGACATCATACTGAAAAGATGCATTAATAATTCAAAGGGATAAAGATTTTTTTTTCTGTGATATATTTTACTGAATCAACTATGTATTTAGAAGATAAGTTGGACAAGCTCTCAGGCACAAATTGAAAAAAGGACAGTTTTTCCAAATTACACAGTTGGTCCTATAAAAGATATCACCAAAAAAAATCCTTGCCTCTCATATCTTTCCTGGACCATTGGGGCTATAATGCCACTCCAATCCTAAAAATTATGAGCACCTTTTGATGATGCCAAAATCACTCAGAGATATAGCACTAATTTTACAATAAAAATATGTAAAACTAATGCTATAAGCAAATATAGTAGAGATGCTTACTAAACTTAGTTAGAAAGTTTGAGCTAATATTCGGGACTATTGTTTATTTGAAATAAAACACAAGAACTGAAAAAAGCCAAAAAAAAATAGTAGTATTTGACGACCGAGCAGTTCAGCTTCAAGGAGACTGGACTCTTGGTTGACTGATCATGAAGTAGCATCATCACGTAGCTGCATAAAGGAAGGGAGGGCTACACATACCCAGTAAAGCTAACTTACAGAAAATAAATTTCCATTGCTAAAGGTTAGGAATGGACATCCATAAAGGATATTCAGTTTTAGAAAAACAGAAAGACATATATCCATACTTTTGCAACCATATTATAGAAAACATTCTTAGATAAGAACATTTGTAACGAAAGCAAAAGAATACCAATGGCTTATTTTATATAACACAGTGAAAACATTTCTACTCCTTACGCTGATTGTGGAATCATTAAAAAGCAAGACTATGTTAGGAGGACTTAAATCAAGTCAGTTTAACATTAGTGGTAGGGTTCTTAATAGTGTCAAAACTACAAAGAAATGCATGATAGAACTGAATCCTCACTCACACTTAATAAAACCCAAAGTGGAATGTATATATTGCATAGGAATAATGAAAATCTATACTGGCAAGACACATTCAACCAAGAAGTGAAGGAAACAAAATGATCAGGTTCTGAGTGAGAATGTTACCTGTGTGAGGTGGATGTCTCTCTGGTAAAATCAGATGTTGAAAATTGATGATACATACTGCCTCTGCCCCTAGCCATCTGTCAGATACAGCCCGGATGTAGTATTGGGAAGGCAAGGGTTCAAAAATAGGGATTGTGAATACGAGAGGTTGTGGTTCTTTTGCAATGACCTAATGTAAGAATAATACATAGAAACCTTATTAAGTAACCAAATCTTCAGTCTTAAAATCATAGTTTGCTAGAGTCATATAATCAATACACAAAAATATAATGTATATGCATAAATGAAGCGCAATGTGTTCATGCACACTTATTAAAAACCATAGTTCACAAGATGCTTCCATTCATTTCAATTTCAGGGCAGATTCTACTTCAAAGACTTCACAAGGAACATGATAAGGCTCTTGGCCATTAAGTTTAGGGACAGACATCACACATACACTGGTTTAAGTGATCAGAAACTGGTTTAAACCTGTAACAGAACAGATGTTCAGTGCACATAAACCAGTTTGAAAATGGCTGAAACTGGTTTGAGATAAACCTCAATGTAGTATTAGATTTAACTGATTTGGGTCAAAGCAGTTTATGCAGCGTCTGCCCCACACCCCTTGCTGGTTTAAGTTAAACCAGAGCACCCAGCATACCAGCATGCTCTCTGGGATGGGTGGGGCTCTCTGCTCCACAGTAGGACTGGCCCCTCCCCTCTGCTCCCTGACTGGAGCTTGGCAGAGACTGCAGGCATCTGCCTGGCTCCGCCTGGCTCCCCACCTCCCTTCCCCATCCCCTCTGCCTTACACAGACACCTCTTAGCATTAGCTAGCAAAAAAAATGCTGGTTTTGATGTGTACTGCAGCAGATGGGACAAAGGCAGAATCAACAGGTAGCTGGTAATGTCCCTCTGTTGTTTTCTTAATGGGGTGATAAACACTGACTTAGGGTTGATAAACACTGTGTTATCAATTCCCTGCTGGGCTGGTCAGAAGTGGGGGGATGACCCCTCCCTAATCAGAGTGTCCTGCCAGGGCCTGGCCATGCCCCCCTCACCTCAGCACTATGAAAGGGAAGGGAGGGCTGCTCTAGTGCCCCCCCCACCCCCTCACGGCTTCTAGCCTGAGCCACTGCAGGCATGTGCCTGCATTTCTGTGATGTCTGTACAGTTACAAACTGATTCAGCCTAGCCAGGTTTGACTAACCTGCAAAGACTGAATCAATTCAGGCTCAGGCTTTTTGAATGTCTGTCCGTAGCCTAAGTGCATTAAGTGGTGTGTACATGCATGTGCATTTTGTTTTCTTTTTCTGGGTGGAACATCAGTATGCAATCTATATGAAGACAAAGCTAATGAAAAAAGCTAGTCTGTAACACTTGCTTTAAATCACAAGTGTTTCTTCTGATGTTCATCACAGAAGCAACAGAAGAAACATATCTTCAATTGTTTTTAATTACTGATCTGATGAAGTGAACGTGCATTAATGAAAATGTGTGCTATATATTCAAGGAGGTTTGCCTTGAATTTGTCTCCCCTCCCACAGCTACGGCAGGAAAATTAAACTGGTGGGGAAGGGATGTGGTCAGGTGGCATCCTTTCCCTCGGCCCCTTAACTTCTTCCTCCTGCAGCCTCCCTCACCTCTCCTTACTGTCTGACCCTGCTCTCTCTGAGCTCATGGAAGTGAGAAGCACATTTGAAAACTGACTTTGAAATAAACAACATATAGCAATTTACATATAAGCAAATTACTATGGGTAGCCATAAAACTTAGTTCATCCAGAATTGATGTATTTTACCTTTTTCAAAACTGCTGCAAGTTTTAGCACGGGTACTCTAAAAAACACTTCTAAGCAGAACTTTGGTATCTACTTATATACAATACAAACTTTTTCTTTCTTTCTCCAGACAATTTAGTTTTTTAATGCTTTGAGAGTCTGTTATAAAGACATTCACCTGTTTTTTCTGAATGATGAAATACTCTGAATGATAAATGTGGTCATTAGTGGGGTCTTCTACCCAAATCCACCAAGGCTCTCCAACTGTGCCATGCACCTAAAAGAAAATAATGAAAACGCTCACATTACAAACGGTATAAAAATATTAGGTTATGTCAATTATTTGGAGGTATTTCATTATGATATAGGTTTCTATGGAAGTTTCTAAGAACAAATACAAAGAGACTTGTGGCAGAAGATGATGGAGTAATATAAAAATTGATTAAACCATTCTACTGGAAATGAATAAGCTATGCTTGAGACATATAAGATATAAGGGTTTGTCTCTATGGGTTTTTCATCCAAAGCATGCTGAGTAACAAATAGAATACTTTAGAGATTTCAATATTAATCTTGGGCTTGTAAGCAGAGAACTGGCATTAGTCATTTTATGTATGGGCCCTCTAACTGGTGCTGGAACTACCTGACAGACCTGAGCAAGGAAAGGTTACCAAACTGCTTGCTTAAACAGGAAAGCAGAAAGCTACATTTACATTTCAAGGTAAAATCTGGTAAAGATAAGGAACTGAGACTGCCATAATCAACACCCTGTTCAAAAGCGGGGTGTGACAAATGAAAAGCAGGAAACACGTTTACATTCAAACAATAACCTGTGGAAAACAAGGCACCATCCAACGTTACTTATCTATTAGCTCTATTAACATTAGAAGAAAGCACCAGGAAAGGACCAAATGTATTGAATATTATCGTCTTGCTAATAGTAGATGCTTAGATACAAGAACAAAGCAAGTCATACCAAATCATAAACTAACGTGAAGAAGTAACAGACCAGTGCAAAGAAGAAAGGGAAGGGAATAAGAAACTTGTCTCCCTTCACCCTTTTGCATTTGCAGGATATGAATCCCAATTATGTGAAACCTTTCAGGTTTGCAAGAAATCTAGTTTAATCCAGGTCTGAAATTTTCAGTGAAACAAAGAACTTTAAATAAAGCCAATCAGAGATCATTCCTTAGAATACTGAGACTATGATTACCAGCCATCTATAAATAGTGGACACAGGCTGGAGGGAATTTTGGGCACTTATCCAGTCAGAACTTATCCACCTGTAGATGTGCCAGAGTATTTGTCTCTCGACTGCTTACCTGTGGGACCATCTGAAGAAATACCCTCTGGTGGAGACAAGAGTCTGGCCAGCCTTGCTTTGCAGCAGTCAAGACCCATGCTGTAAGATTATGCTTTTCCTCAGCTACTAATCTTGTTTTGTCAATTAATCAATAAACTCCTCACATTTGTTGGAATGACCCATGGGTCTGTTTGAATCTTTTCAACCTTACTGCCCCACTTAGAGCTTGTTTTACAGGCTGTATTAACAGACATTTCTCATATGAAACTGGCTCATTATTAAGAAATCTATTTAGGGAGTTGCAGACTAATTTCCTGGTGCTCCCTCTAAACTTTTGCTTCTGCACATGAATGCTCCATTCAGTTTACTAATAAGTGAATTGTTTTTCCTGACACTATCTTCTTTTGGGTAGGGATGCCAATAGCCACATGTTCTTTGGATATTGCATTGCTTAGACATTGATTGACATGCACCCTACCCAGCAAATGTGTGGCTGGGAAGTTTGGAACCCACTGGGCACTGATCTGAATGAGGTGAAAAGAATATAAACTGGGCTCAGTACTGTGGAGACAACTCCCATGTTTTAGCATCTGGTAACATTTCCCTCTCATTCTCCCTTTGGGTCTGTCTTATAATATGCTCTGATCTTGTTAGGGTATTATGTTGAGGGTCACAGACACGGAGGCCTTTATTGCTATGTATTCAGCCTATCCAACTACCATGCTTTGGGTCAGGAAAAAAAATTCATGGCTTGTCAGAATAATAGAGACATTTATTATATAGTCATGCTTCTTTTAATCACTTGTGGATTGGAAATAGAAAAGGTTTGCCAATGGAATGTGGCAACAAGACACTAATAAATGAACATGGGTGAATGTCTGAAGTTTCCTGAGGATGATGTGCAGCTACAAAATTGTTGGGAGTAATTTAAGCTCTATCTTTAAAAACAATATTAAGCAACTTATAAAAAGCAGTTTTTTATACTTTATACATTTCATAAGATACAGTAAAGGAATATTTTTCATTATATTGTATGCATTATAATAAGCTTCTGTCAGCATGATTTATTATGGTTTAGAAAATATATACTTCTGGAGGGGAAAGCACATACTGTGGAAAGATGTCTTTTTTTAAACTTCATACGTTCCCATGGGGTAATTTTCTACCCAGATGCATATTTTGTGCAGTATCTTAAAGTTAACATTTTTCAGAATTAATTCTTTTTAGGACATTGTCACTGGTACCGCAGTGCACAATATCCCCAAAGAACAGCCAGCTTACATGAATGGTTTGCTCTCTGTGGATGAAAAACTTCCCAGGGTAACATGTTACCCCAGGCATGAATGTGTTTTTCCATATGGGGTGACAACTTAATCCCAAACCCATGTTAACACATTGGGGTAAAACAATGCAATTTCTGTATAAATGACAGGCCTAGACCTGTTTAGCCACTTTGGGCGGATGCACCTGAAAGGTCAGCATTCATTCACACTTCATTCATGTTCACTTCAGGTATCCATGGTAGCTAATGGATGGCCATCTTCCACTCTGCTTTTGCAAAAGACGTGGTAATCCCTTTTGCTAACCACTTTGTTTCCAGGCTGCAAGGTCATCAAAACATCCTGCCCTTTGCCAAAAACAACCAACCAACCAAAACCTTTGTAACATCCAAATCCACCTCTGCTCTCTTTTCTCATGGCAAAACTCCACCTCACCTGTCCCTTTCATAACATACAAACTAGTTTGCCCTGCCTTTGTTGGAGGTAAGGACAAGGAGCAAAGGGACAGTAGAGAAGAAACAGAACAACATCATACTGCAACATAGTGTAAACTATGGAGTTCCCTTCAACACCTCCTATGCCCCTTTTACCTGATTTCAATAAGCCCCTGCAAGTGTGTTTTCCAAACAGCATCCACCCACATTTGGCTTGCCTGCAAAAGGTGGATGCTGGCCTCTGGCTTCTGTACCCAGGAGAAGAGGGTGCTACCTGCATTGCCATAGGGCAGGGTGGAATTGCTTTTGTGACAGCATAGGTGGACAGGCTTGTCTTTGATTGTTATTTATATGCATTCAGCAGTAATCAATTTTTTCTTTTTTTTCTGCAGTCCAGGATGAGAAGGGAGCACTGATTTAGTGTTGAAGCCTGTCTTGCACAGGTAACCAGGGATGACAGCGACACATCCACTGATGAAATCTTATCCTAAGGCAGTGACAATGCTGACTTTGTTCCAGGCAGGGAGACTGTTCAGAGCAAGAAAACCATGCGTCTATGGAAGCTTCATCCAGCTCAGATGAGGAAAAATTGGTGCCACAAGCAGAAGTGATGCCAACACTTCCAGTAGGAAAGGGAAGAGGATCAGCCCAGGGCTGCCATGGAAGATGGAGAGCTACAGCAGGACGTGGAGCAGAACCACTGCCACCACCCCAAGAAAACACTGCAGATGATGACACCTTTAGAGGAAGAAAAGGCAGAGTGTACGGAAAAAGTCCACAGCTAATACATCATCAGAGAACAGCCAAGAACATAGTCCATGAAAGTGTTGGGCAACAAGAGAAAGTAATAAAGACATAGTGGTAGAAATGTTCCACCTGTTTCTCTCACAAGATATCCTGACTATTATAAGAGAAACAAAAAAAAAGCAGAAAGATTCAGGGAGTGGAATGACAGCCATCCTGAAAATAGAAAGAAGTGGAAAAAGCTGGATGAAACAGAGCTGAAAGCCTACATTAGCGTCCTACTGCTGAGTGGTCTATGCCACGGTGGTCATGAGGCACTGGAGGAGTCGTGGGTGCAACACACTGGGTGTCCTGGCTTCTGTGCCACCATGAGTTTAAAATGATTCTGTCAGATCACCAGTTACCTGAGATTCGATAACAAACTGACACGTGAGGAAAGGAGAGCCGTAAACAAGATTGCTGCCTTCAGAGATATTTGGACACAATTTGTGGAGCAGCTCAGGAAATGGTATATTCCAGGAATACACCTGACAGTTGATGAGCAGCTCATTGCATTCAGGGGTCACTGCCCGTTCAGACAGTGCAGTCCGTTCAGGCTATGCCCAGCAAGCCTGCCAAATATGGCTTGAAAATGTGGTGATGCTGTGATGCAGCAACATCATTCCCCCTGTCTGGAGACAACTGCCTGGCAAGCAACCAGAAGCTCCACACCAAAGTAATCTTGGTACCCAGGTCACTGAAAAACTGGTTCATCCCTGGCATAAGACAGGAAGGAATATTGTGGGTGACAATTTCTTCACAAGTACTGACCTGGCAGAAAGACTGCTACAGCAGGACTTGACCTATTTGCGTACGGTTTGGAAAAACAAGGCTGATATCCCAAACGAAATGCAAGCAAATGGAAGAAGGGAAACTTTTTCATCCATTTTTGCTTTTGATGGGGAACTCACCCCAGCTTCCTATGTTCCAAAGAAGTCCAAAGTTATGCTGTTGCTGTCATGCATGCACTGTGACCTGTCAGTGGGTGGAGAGCAAAGAAAGCCGGACATCATCCATGACTACAATAAAAACAAGGGTGGGGTAGATAACCTTGACCACTTAGCCCATATGACCACCTGCAGACAGAAAATCAACAGGTGGCCAATGACACTATTTTTCAATATTCTGGATGTGGCTGCCATTGCCAGCCTCAGCATTTGGCTAGGCCACAAGATGACGGTGCTTTTTTTTTGCGGGAGCTTGGAGAACAGTTGATCAACGGACAAATAAAAAAAAGAATGATGGATACATGTAATCTGTCTAAGTCCGTCAAATTTCGTATGACTGCCCTAAATTATAAATTGCCACAATGCACCCCAGTAGAACCTTCTGCAAGCATGAGTGGACATTGCGCTTTTTGTCCAAGGACAGACAACCACAAAACCTGGAAACAATGCGAAACAATGCGAAGATTAAGTGACAGTATATCACTGTTGCTTTGTGAGGAATGCAAAATTTAGTAAAAACAGTTGGGAAA